AGATTGAAAACATATGGAGACAGAGCTTTCTCTATTGCAGGACCTAAATTGTGGAACGATTTACCTCTAGAGATTAGGAAATGTGCTTCAGTGGCAACTTTTAAGCAATCCCTTAAAACTTTTTTATTTAAGTTAGCATATAGGTTATGAGATTCGTTTTGTTTTGAGATGTTTTTGATTTATATAGTAGATAACTTAGGCTATATTTGAATTATATTGTATATTGTAGATATTTTATATTATATATTTTTATATTTTATATTGTTATTAGGTAGCGCTTTGGACAATTATTGGATTTTAGCGCTATATAAATAAAATTATTATTATTATTATTATTATTATTATTTATGATGGAGTGCTAGGCATCGATCATCGTAAAAATGTCTGCTGCACCGTCTACAGAGTAGGCTGGGTTGATGAGATCTGGGACCGTACTCAATAGTTTTGCCGGCTTTACACCGGTGGCCTTCACAGGGATGATGCATGAAGTCGTCATGATCAAACCCGCGGTTGCAGTCGTCGCAATAATAGGACCGTTCCAAAAAACCCATATAAGAGGAACAACCGTGGTAATGCCCGATGTCCCCCTCTAAGTCTGATTCGAAGGGTAGCCTAATAATTTTGGAGGAATTTACATTTCCCTCGAAGGTGATACAGTAGGGGTAATTTACGCTCATCACTTTTAGCTGGTAGTCGGGTGCCAAGTACTCTTGGAATTTCTTTAATTCTTCTCTACCACAGGGCCCTTCGGGAACGCCAGCTCTCGTGAGTACATTTGCACTCCTTTTAAGATTCCAGTAATTTCGCATGCCTTCGCGGTCCTCATCTTTTTGAATGTGTGCTTTTGTGAGACAAATCGCTCTGGCCAGACAGAGGTCATCTTCGTTATTTTCTATGGGTAGCACGCATCTTTTGTCACGAAGCACAGAAGCTATTTTTAGTTTCCCCAATACGGATTTTGCTTTTCCGCCAGTTTCTGGAACCGTTATGATGGTCATATCGACTTGAAATTCATCGTTCGCGTCAAAACTCTCTTTTGGATTCAGTTGGTTGGCTAAGGTCTGTATGGATGTTTCGAATCGGGGGGTACCATTCAGAATTTCGGCGACGGTGAATTTAGACGATTGAAGAGGGTGAGTAAACTTTTTAGGGGTGAAATGAAACATGACGCGATCGTCCTCTTTTAGTTGTTTTCCTTTCCAGAGCTCAGTGGGTTGAGATTTTTCAATCACGCGGCGCGCCATATCCGCGACACCGCGAGTAATTTCGCGTCCGATATCGTCTTGCTTCGTTGCGGGGCGCAGTTGCTTTTTTGGGCTACTCCTCGCTGCTTGTGTACCAATTTTAAGGCTTTTTTTTGGGTTTCCGATAGGTTGAAATTCAAATTGGAATAAGGGTGATTGCTGGTGATTTATTTCTTCTCCTATTTCTATAAGTTCCTCATCCAAGACATTATCGGGAGCATCGATGTCGTCGTAATGTTTACCGATCATGGTCACCAATTCGTCCGATATATCGTCATCCCCAAACCCTTCCTCAAATTTCCTTTTTCCCTTGTAATAATAACAACAAGACTTGTTTTAATTACATGCATTTCTTCATGTATTTTTTATACGAGTCGGTTGGTTCTCGTAATTATAAAACTGAATAGTGGGATGACAATGACACTCTTCTAATAAGGTGTTAAATACAGCTAACATTGTACATTTTTCTGATTCATTTATGGCTCTAACTCGTAAAAAGTCGCAAAATTCACGGCTGCATTCGTGACACGAATAGAATCCTTTACACTTTGCATTCCATGTCTCCTGACTAAAAAAGCCTCTGATTTTATGGCGCACGATAGGCGTGTCTGGGCATCCGAGTATCAATATGCGAAACACGCGTGCTAAATGCTTGATTTCACGCTTCTGCGATTGAATGACATCTTCTAATTCTTCAAGGATGTCTTTAAATTCAAGACAATCGATTCTCTAAAGCAACAAAAGAAGATGTCATTCTTCTATTTTATACCACACAAAAAAATTGGCTCTGTCCTGGTGTACCGGTTCACAAGGGAATTACCATTGTTCTTTCTTTGTTTAGGAGTCATTGGTTAGCTGTTGTGTATTGTTCGGTCTTTTGTAACGGCTCTTGTGAACCGGTACACGAGGACAGAACCAAAAAATTGAATTCTATGCAAACACTTACATTATATTTCTCGGCCATGTCTTTCTTTTTCCACTGCTACTAAACTTCTTGCTTCTTCTAACTTCTCGACTGCTTTGGTGTTTAAAATACAACTCGGAAAAAAACTGTTTGATATATAGGAGAAAAGACAATAGAAACACCTCATCACGTGGAGACGCTATAGTTTTTATCCAATGATATCAGTTTGTTTTTAACGGTGGATANGTCCAGTCCCTAACCCTGACCACAGTCATTAATCCGCGTGATGCTTTCTCTGGCGGAAGGACTGGAGTGAGGACTCTCTACCACCGCGTGGACCCCACCCAAAGAGAGCAGATCCGATATATAGACGTGACTTCCGAGTACCCATGGGTCAATAAATGTGGAGAATACCCCGTCGGACATCCTACCATCTACTTAGAACCAGAAAATCAAGATCCCAACGCATACTATGGGTTGATGAAAATAGATATTCTTCCGCCTACGCATCTCTTTAACCCCGTTCTCCTCTATCGTCAAAAAATCGGACCCTCTTCTAAACTCACCTTTCCTCTCTGTCGTACGTGCGTCCAGCAAGAATCTCTTAAATCCCCCGAATCATTCCTTATGCCAAAGCGAATAAAATACCCATCTCGCAAGCTAGATCGGAATTGGAGAAAAGTTTAGCCTACACTCTACACAAACCGCGTCGTCGCCGAGGAGAGTTTGTACCAGTCGTAGTCATTGATATAGACGAACAATGAGTGGCAGATTTGATCGAAGTACAGACGATTGCTAAAGAAAATAAAGGCCACCGATACATTTTGATCGTGGTAGATGCATTTTTAAATATGCGTGGGCGGTTCCCATTAAAAAGAAAACTGGAAAAGAAGTGACAGAAGCGTTTGCCAAAATAGTAAGACAGGGGAGAAAAATTACAAACGGATGCAGGGAAAGAATTCTACAACAAGACGTTTCAAGAATGGTTAACATCG